CTTTTCCTGTATGAGCGGTTTTCATATTTGTTCTTGAAGTGCACCAGAACACTGCAACCCCCTCTCCCTGTTTGCTAATTGGTGGGAGACTGGGAGCTTCCTGCTGTGCGTTCACAGCTTCTCTCTTTGCTTTGCCACCCCACCAGGTCTTTCACCATCGCTCTGCAGAACCCAGTAATTAACCCTCAGCTAATTAACTACTTCTAATTACACCAGCGCGCTGTTTCCATCACACCTTGGGAAGCCGGACGAACTCTGACGCAGCATCAGTCTTTTCTTCAGTTTGACTCAAACCTGCCTCTATCACTGAATGCCACCACCTTGTTCAGCTCAGATTTTACTGCTTTGGTCTCTTATGTAACTTTTTCCTTTTTTTTTTTTTTTTTTGTTTTTTTTTCCATTTCCATTTGCAGTATTGAATGGATTTGCACAAATGCGACAGAGTTGTGCAAAGGGTAAAAATTAATTTTGCAGATTCTTCTTCAGGGCCATTGATTTTGTGCAACAAGTACATTTATTTTTCAAATTCCTACCGAAATTGAGAGATGTTGAAGTACATTTAGTCTGGTTAAACTGAGTTAATACTTTATATTTTGTTTAAAACACACTAGCTACCAACAAGCGTGACGGTGAACTACATGCCTCGATTCAGACGTACTTGAGAAATTTTCCCAGACGTGCCAGGGAAGAGCCTCCTGCACATACACTCTCTGCTGTAAACACACATGACTGTTCCTCCATGCCTCAGACTCGACACAGCGCTAGCTATTTCTGTTTCACAGACTGATAGCTCCCACTGAACATCATTGATTTTACGGGAAGCCCTGTTTACAGGCTGAGTGCCATCGACCTGAGGTGACTTTTTACCTCCTGCAGTTAGAGCATCCTTATGTCTGCATTAGTGGAAGAAAAGGCTGCGCATTTACAAAACACAATTAACAGCACCGTGTGGATGAGCAGTTGTCACAATTACAATTTTGGGGGAAAAGAGAAAAAGAACTGCTAACATATTTTAGTCATGTTTTGTAATATTTGTAGTAATTTTATTTTATTTTATTTTTTTGATCTATTGCTCTTAAAGTGACTTGGTGAAACACTGTATTCTCTTCTTGATTGGTATTTTTCAGTAAAATATTTGCCTGTTTGATATTTTATCCTATTTGAATGTTACAGTTATTCATTTCATGGATACATTTCTTCCTTTCTTTCTTTTTTTTTTAAACTTTAGTCTGGCGAGTTATTAAGATTTCTTTCTTAATGAGTTGATTCAGCAAATAATTTTGGCAGGGCACATAAATCCTAGTGCAACACATTTACATTTCCCTCACTGTTAGAGTGCTGTGTTGAAGCAAGGATTCACTAAGCTAACGTTAAAGTGAATGCATGCCTTTATTGGTGATTAAGTGGAACAAACCTGGGAGATAAACCCAGGCTTCTCTCTGCCCGAGGACTACAATGGTTCCCTCGTCAATGAGCATGTCCCTGGTGCAACATCAAAAGCCTTCCCCTGCTTTATCAATAAGAATCCTTCCTTCCCACATCTTCCTGTAACTTGCTTAGCGTTCACGCCATTGATTTTTCAATAAGCGCCCCTTACCCTGCGGTGGCTGGCCTGGCTCTGTGATGGCTCAGAGACTAGACACAGACAAGCTACATCACTGAGGAACAGTTGAGAATCAGATCTGCTGTATCGTTAGTGGTCCTTGAGGCATATTAAGTAGCTCTGTCTTTTCCGTTTCAAACAGGAGGTCTCTCATTGCTGACGTATATTTGGATAGAAGGTTTGGTCTCTGTCCTACCTATAATTTTTGCATTGTGTGTGAGAGCTTATTCTCTCAGGACCCCCTAGAAAACAGTGGTACTCTGGAGGCACTAACAAGGCTTCAAAGCAAGTCATCAGCCGTGCTTATAATCAAATGGTTCCTTGGCCTTAAATGCTTACCCTGCATGGTAAATCACGCCAAATGAAAAGACCTGCAACTTAGATCTAACTAACTAAAACAACCAAATGACATCCAAATTGTGGCGTTGCTCATAAGATCAGAAGCTGATTTAAAAAGAGATTAAAGCGTTTCCTGTTATTACTCAGAGGTTGTGGAATAATGTCTTTTTTTCATGAGAAGAAGAAAGCAAAACAATTCTGGCAAGTGTCTTTGAAGGAAGGTGGCACTAGAGGGTGATTTCTACTGTCTGGCACACTCCCTTTTAGATCAGCTTAGGAATCCAGCCTTTTCTTCCTTGTGATTATCTCATATTGTCAGCTAAAGCTTGTTTTGGCTGCACACAGCCTGCTTATTGTGAACTTAGCGGGCCCACATTTAGAACTACAATGCAACCCAGGCTGCAGGGGCCATGACTTAATCACTTGTTGTGCTGCCAGCATGCAAAAAAGAATTGTTTTATTTCTGGATATGACATGATACTGTATATCTGTCCATAATAATGCCTGGTTGTAGTCACCTTCAGCGGGCTCCTCCTTCATTTTGATTTGTGGTTATTAACATAGTCAGCACTCAGAGACTCCAGCCTCCTCCACTTCCCCTCTACTTCGACTGCGTCTCTGTGTCTGTCTCCTGTACTTGTTTAGTGCCTCCCAGAGATTAAAGCTTTTCCTGCTTTAAACAGGTGTCACTGAGCCAGGCAGACATCCAAGAGACAAACAGTTTTATATCAGTTGGGCCCATCTGCGACTTTCCGACTCCAGACAATCCCATTGCTCATCTGTAACCACTGTAGGTTATTGAATTACACCATCTTGATTTTAAAGGGCAATCCTGTTTTCTGTAAGCAGTGGGCACACCAAGCTAGCTGAGAGCTTCACCTCTGATCAAGAGTCATTGTGTTGCCCTGACTACTGCTAATTGCTTGTGGTATCTTAGATATGTAATGGGAACTGAGGGCTACACGCTCTCAGTACAGTAGCCCACACTGTACTTGGCTTGTTCACACTCATCAAGGCCAAAAGCAGGTCACTGTTGAGCAGCAGTCTTAACTGCTAATCGTGCATTTGTGCAAACTTCTCCGTCGTAGCAACAACTGGAACGTGAAGGAAAGGGTTAATAAATGATAAAAAAAAAAAGCATGAAATACTCCCCTTTTTGACGTGGGAATATTTTCCTGTCAGACATTTCTTTCAGACAACTCTCATTTCTGTCCTTTTTCCACTTAATTTTGCACAGTTTATCCTCTTGCTTTTAGCTTGAAGAATCACTCGGCTTGAAGTGGCTTTTCTTTCTTTCTTTTTTTTTTTCTTCTTCCACTCCTCAGCCGTCTGTCCATTTGTGTGAAATGGCCGTTGAGCTCATAGCCTCTTATTAATGGAGCAGATAATAAATACAGACCAGTAGGGCTAGTATCCCCTCACTCAATATGGCAGCCATCTTTAAATCATGTCTGGTTGTATAAAGCAATCTTGTTAATAAGCCAGCAAGTCTACCATCTTCAATATCTCATCAAATTATATGCAAACTAGCTCAAAGTTAAGGGTTAGTTCATTCAGCATTAAAAATCTAACAGCTTGTACATCCTTTGATGAATGCGTGCACATTTCCAACGTTTATTTGTCAGTTTCTTTTTTAATTTTCTTCCACTGCCCTTCCTTTATTATGTCTTACTTAGATTTGTGTTGCTTAATATAGTTTAGTTTCTGATCTCTTACAGTTAATAATGAAGCCTTAACACAAATTAACATCTTTAGAATAGCTGCACATTATTTTTGTAGTGGGAGAGATTATAGGTTGAAGAGGTACTTTGCACAAGGGGTACTTTTCATCAGACATTCATGAATAGGCAGACAGACATTATCAATCTCTCCTCTTGCTCAGTGGTTAATGTGTTAGGCTGTGGGGGTAGACTTTATTCTGATCACAGCTGAAATTTGCATCTCTAAGTAAATAAGTAAATAAATCAAGTGCAAGCACTGAATTTGCTAATCAACCGAGACATGGCAGTGAGCTTGGTGCCGGGAAACTTTACTCATGTAATATTCAGCACTGGTGGGTTAAAGGGCAGCCCAGAGTTATTGGCTTCAGCCCGATTGCCCCCTTTAATCAATGTTGGCTGCATCCCTTTAATAAAATTATTAGCTCAGCAGTATCTTGTGTTATCATTTTATCTCTTCTGCGCTCTAAATTGCAGCCTGTGTTGGGCCTCTCAGATGCTCGGGGCATGGCCGGCTCCCGAAAGCTCAGCTCCCATTTATTATTTCAGAGGCGGATGATGGCTGGAGTGTTTGAAACCAGGCTAAGCTCAGAGGTTATTGGATGCAAGATCTAAACACAGCTGCAGTGAAGTCCCAACCCATCTTATGTATTTTGAGCTCCAAAAAAAAAAAAAAATCCAGCCTTTTATTGCTGTTGTTAGTTTAGGCATTCCTATCCCAATAATACACATGATTTATATTTTTTGTCCTTTTTTACTGCAACTCTAGTTGGAGTAATAATTGTAATACTGCTAACAATTTTTTTAAACACATTTTCACCTTTTCTACAAGTTATGTAAATGTGTGATGTGCTGATGGGTGGCTTCTCAGTGTCTAATTATCTCACAAGGAATCTATTTGATCTATTAAGTTAGTCTGACTGCAAGTTAATTAAAAACGGATGTAGGATTTGCAGAATATAAGATTAAGGGTGTTGTTTGGAAGGTGAAGATAAAAGATGGTGCTTTTGTGATATGGCAGGAAGATGAATCGTGGATGGCTTATTAGTGCTTGTCTCAGGTATTGTGTTTAAGTGCCTAATCTAGCGTAATGAGTAGGGTGTCAGCTTTCCAATTATATCTCAGAGTTTTGGCTCTTGTTTAATGTGCCATGCTTTTGATATTCTTTTCTTTTACGGGTTCTGTGCATAGATTTTACATTTCTATGTTTGTTTGTTTTGTTTTATTTTTCTCAATTGAGACAGTAATTGTGCTTAAAATATGGACCTTTGTTTCTAGCTTTGACACGCAAATGTGTACCATATTTACAATTTATTAACCTCTTATATGTGTCTTTGCAGGCCTGGATGCGATGAACGCCTCATGTAGGCATCAGCATGGACAGCTGTGAGTCTCCCGTGGTTTCTGGGACAGAGGATGGGCTCAGCTCCTCCCAACAGCAGCAACCACCACAGCCCTGGAACGATCACTCAAGCTCACAGGTCACTTGCACCAACCAGGCCCCTTCTCTGGATGCCCTGTCCCTCTCTGGGTCGTACCCTTCTCAGCCCCTGAACTCCATTGCCCCTCATGACGGGGTGAGAGACCTACAGTCACAGCAGCCGCAGCCAAAACAGACATTACCCCAGGCTCACCGTGATAGCTCTGCCATTGGCCAGCTGCATTCCAGGAGAGAGGGCCTTGACGAAGTGGTGCAGGAGGGAGTGAGCTGTGAGGAGGAAGAATCGGAGGACTTGGATGAAATGGAGATTGACAGCTGTTTTCCAAGTCTTCAGCCCTTTCCTGGAGTGCCGATAACTTCAGGGGGAGGAGGTATGCCCACTCTTTTGCGACATCAGCCCACACAACAGCAGGGACCACCTGAGAGTGGGAGTGAAGAAGGAGAGGAGGAAGAGGAAGAGGAGAGTAGTGATGTGGAAAACCTGACTGGAGAGATAGTCTACCAGCCAGATGGCTCAGCATACATTGTGGAGAGCCTCAGTCAATTGATCCAAAGTAGTGGAAGTATGGTACCTGGCATGCTTTCTACAAACTCTGTCACAAGTGGGGGAAAACCGGGAGAACCTGCTGGGGTTTCATCCTCAGTCTACCCACAGATCATCAACACTTTCCACATAGCATCGTCTTTTGGGAAGTGGTTTGGTAACTCGGACCAAGGTTTTCCCAATACCTCATCAATGGCAGGCCTCAGCCCTGTCCTGCACAGTTTTCGTGTCTTCGATGTGCGGCACAAAAGCAACAAGGATTACCTGAACAGCGATGGGTCTGCCAAGAAGTCCTGCGTATCCAAAGATGTTCCCAATAATGTGGATTTTTCCAAATTTGATGGGCTAGCCCTTTATGGAAAGGGTAAGCCCATTCTAATGTGTTTTCTCTGCAAGTTGTCCTTTGGCTATGCTCGTTCCTTTGCCACTCATGCTGTCCATGATCACCGCATGACACTGTGTGAAGATGAACGGCAGCTGTTAGGGGACAAGCATGCCTCTGCCATCATCCAGGGCATTGGGAAGGACAAGGAGCCCCTTATTAGCTTCCTGGAACCAAAAAATAGGAGCAGTCCTCTGCCACCTACCTTGCTACCCATTAACTCTGGACAGAGCTTCTATGGTACATTTAGTGGTGTTCATCTGGAGCCTGGAAACAGCAGTGGGGGCAGTGAGACCCTCCTGAACAAAGACTCTGACTCTGGCCTTCAACAACAGCAGCAGCAACAAACACCACTTGATTCAGTCCTTTCTATAGGTGGACTAAGTGTTTCCAAAGCATCTACTCTTACCTCTTCTCCTGGCTCTGCCAAAGACTCCAGTGCCCTGCCCAAACAGGGAGGGAGAATAGAGGAGCCCGTGGGGAAAGAGTTGGCATACAAGGGAGAAGATGTGAGAACTGAGGGACATGAAAGCAATGTGCAGCTATCCAACCAGTTGGGGGGCTCAGAAGAAGAGGATGAACTATTGTTAGGGGAAGAGGAAGATGAGGTGGAGGCAGAAAGCACTGCAGTGGCCTGTGGTGGTAACAGTAGCAGCGGTGGGAGTGAGGTCGGGGAACCAGCTGTCTCAAACCAAAGCAATTCCAAATCTCCTTTATTATTGCCTAGTAGCACTCTCCAGCCTTCTGCCTGCACCTCTGCAGTCGGTTCCACGCTCAACAGCAAAGCCCTTGCTTCCATTTCCTCCTCTGTCAAGGAAGAGGCTTCAGCTGCAGATGGTGGAGGGAGGACATCAGAGCTCCCTCTGAGCTTTAACTGCCAGGGACCAACAGTTCCCATGGCAATAGCGGCAGCTGCCGTCAGAAGGAGCGAGGATGACACTGCTGGCACTTCGTCCTCACCTCTGTCCAACAATGCTGCTGCTGATGAAAGTGCCAATCGAGATAGTGCCACAGCTCCAGAACCAAATGATTGCCCAGCAGAAGGAGAGGATGAAAATGGAGCCCTTCTGCATCATCACCATATACACCACCATCATCATCACCTCCATCCGTCATCTCATGGTCACTCCCTCTCCCTCCCAGGGGGTTCTTGTGACATCACAGGGATGGGGGAGTGTTCACAGAACCATGGCCCAGGTGGGAGTGGAGGAAGCGGAGTAGAGTGTCCCAAATGTGATACCGTTCTGGGGTCGTCACGTTCTTTAGGGGGTCATATGACCATGATGCATTCGCGCAACTCATGCAAGACACTAAAGTGTCCCAAATGCAATTGGCATTATAAGTACCAGCAGACATTGGAGGCCCATATGAAAGAGAAACACCCAGACTCTGGAGGCTCCTGTGTGTATTGCAGCAGTGGTCAGAGTCACCCTCGTTTGGCTCGTGGTGAAAGTTATACCTGTGGATACAAGCCCTTCCGGTGTGAGGTAAGAACACAAAAAAGGTGCTAATGCTCCTTTTTAAGAGTTGCATATGCTTTTTAGTTTTGTTCATTTAGATGGATAAATTAAAATAATGTACAATTTTAGCCAAGAATTGTGTCTATAGCATTATTACACTTAAAGAGAAAATATTATTTGTTCTTCAGGTGTGTAACTATTCCACTACGACAAAGGGCAACTTAAGTATCCACATGCAATCGGATAAGCACTTAAACAACATGCAGACGCTGCAGAATGGAGGCTCTATTGGCTCTGCACAGGAGCAGGTCTTTGGACATACCCCAGGTGGAGTGGTGGCTGTACCTTCAGTGACCCAGGCCAGCAGCCATCATACTCCACACCATCATCCGACGCAGTCGTCCACTCACATGTCTGTGCCATGTGGAGCCCCCTCACCAACCAAGCCGAAGAGCAAACCCACCTGGCGGTGTGAAGTTTGTGACTACGAAACCAACGTTGCGCGGAATCTACGCATCCACATGACCAGTGAAAAGCACATGCACAACATGATGCTTCTTCAACAAAACGTGACTCAGATGCAGCATGGGCGACTTGGCTTAGGAGCCATGCCATCTCCGTCTGAGGCTGAGCTTTACCAATATTACCTGACCCAGAACATGAGCCTTCCACCAGGCCTTAAGATAGATCCAGCTGGACCAGAAGCCCAGTTCCTGATGGGGAGTTTTCATCTGGATCCCAGCATGGCTACCTTGGCGCCTGCACTCGGTGAGTCACATCTTGCCTCTCTAGATTTTAAAAAAAACAATCGTAGTTTCCCAACACTCACAGCAAAATGTTATTTCCATTAATTGTTGTGCACATGTTGTGGGAAAACATCTTGGCAAATGTCTTGGCACAATCAGGAGAAAGACAAAACCATATGTCCCTCCCGCCTTTTCAGCTAGATATACAAGACTGATAATTGCAAATGTGGGTTATTTATGCTTTCAATTGTGCTTCTACCGTTCATATGGCCATTTAATGTGAAGCAAAATGTGTATCATGTGATACAAAGACTCTAAAAATAATTGATTATTCTACCTTTCATAGTCTCGGTGAGTTAATGTCTCATATGCTGCCCCTGCGCAGGACATTTCTTTAATCCCAGTTTTACTTCCTCCTGGTGGATTTCAAACTATTACTTTCTGTTCCTGCAGTGTCTGTGTTCTACCATCATTGGGTCCCGCAGGATTTCTGACCATTACCCCTGCTTCCACACAAGCTGATACAATAGTTCCATTAATTTAGTTGCCCCCCCACCCCCATGTCCTTTAAAATGGATCTTTCAGTTTTTCTAAGGTGGAGTTGTGTGAAGTATTTCCAAGTTGTTAGAATCTTACCTTTTGCATACAGCTATAGTGCTGGGAAGCAGGGAAGGAGGCTGACAGGTCACTCAAACTCCTCTGAATAGGAGCTCAGATGAGCAACATTTTGGAATGTTGGATAATGTTCCCCAATAAATCTATGAACAAACTACTCTACTTTAATATTATTTGACACGTACGTAAATCCTAAGAGAATTTATTATCTAATGGCATCTCAGAGCAGAAACAGATGATATTTATTGTTTCTTGCTCTCTCTTTGGATTGCTGAAGATTTTTAGTGTTGAGCATAACACTAAAAGCTGTGGCGACAATCAGTTCCAATACTCACTTGTTGTACTAAAGTCATGATATGAGAAGATGATTTTCAGAAATAAAGAATGAGGTTGGGAGAGTGGTAACTTGTAGTATAATCTGTAGAGTGAAGCAGGACTGCAGTAGATATTTATTTAAAACTACTGGTAAAAAGATAATCTATAATTTGTAAAAAAAAAAATAAAAATAGTAATAATATATATATATATATATATATATATATATATATATATATTATTGTTACATAAAAGCAGATTGGTTGACATAATGTGCATTTCTTTCTGCTTTTATAATAATAGTAAAAAACAGTATGGAAATAGTTGCACAACTTTCCATCAATACCACGAACAAATGATCTACAACCAAATTCACTGATCCACGGTACATATCTATGGTAAATCAATAAATCCATCTAGGTATGAAGCATGAAGTCACAAAGGAAGGGGAGGCATGAGATGCAGAACAGTACTAGCATACTGTGTCAGCATGTCGGTGCATCCGTTAGTGAGTATAAGCAGCTATGACTGGGTCTGCAAGTGATTTCAGAGGACTTCTCAAAGGTCTCTCTCTCTTGGCTATAAAAGCCCAGGTAACAGCCTGCCTTTTGCAGCAAAAAACAAAAAGGAGCTGCTGGTATTAATTTAGTGTAAAGCCAGGCTAGGTCAGGCCTGCATGCTCAGTCTGGGCAGTGAAAGATTAAAGAACAGCAAATAAAGGCAAAAGTGTCACCTCTTACCTAATTTCTTTTTGGCCCATTGTGAGTTGACATGCTCTTTTTATTGCCTCTGCTCTGTTTTATGTAAGTGTTTTAATGTGTTTTGAATATTTGTTTAGAACAGCAGTTTTTTGGCAAACTTTCTGTTTTTAAACATGCCTGATTTGGATTTTATAATTATTTGTTTTTAAAGTTGGGGCATGATTTATATTGTTGGTGGCAGGGCACCTATCCTAACACTGGAACTAGAGACATTCATTCTGTTAGGATAACAAAACCCCCACCCCAAAAAAAACCTTGCATGTTGTTTAAATTGTAACATTTAATTGAATAATTGACACAAGGTGTTTACATGAGGGCTATAAAAACACACACATAAACCTTTTGTTTTCCTAAGATTTCCTGTTTCGGGTCAGGTAAGAGTACCACAAATTTTCTATTAGCTAAATACATGAGAGACATAGCATTATCGAGGATGTTTTATTACTTTCTTCAAAGTCGTAAATCCACATGCACTAAAATCACAATGCCTTTAAAACCGTTTGTGAAAGCTCAGATGATGAGGTCATGGTTTGGTTTTTCTTTGTGCCTCATCTTTGGAAAATCTAAAGAAATCAGCAAAGACAGATCAGGATGAGAACTGTAGGCCTCCGGTTCTGTCTCGTCCCTGGGTACAATTGATACGACGCTACCCGTCGGTCAATCCAGATGCCAGAAAGTGGCATGTTCATCAGTTCCAACAATGACATGCAAACATTAACTACACTGGAATGTCCGGCCATCAGATCATTCAGAAAGAGGGCAGGTTCTTTCTTACTCCTCTGTTCATGACAGATTAAAGTCTGTAAATGTATTCAGGACCTAAAACCTTAATGCCAAAGACGTGTCTTGTCCTAAAATTAAAGTGTTTGGCCCCAATGAACATTTCTGCTTTTGCAAGCCATGGAGTCGCATCAAAACTTTGAAGCACATGGGTTGGCAGCATAATTGATTTGGTGGCGTGAGAGAGACTTGTGCTCTTGACGAACTAGATGACATCATCGAGAAAGAAAGTTATATAATGGAGCAACACATGAACAAAAACCCAAATCATAATATAACGTCAAATAGTGAAAATAAAAAAAAGAAAGGTTATTTGTTTTTTCTACAGTGTATATAAACACTTCTGCAATGATCACAATGTGTTAGCAATCAGTGTAACAGTCCAGCTAGACTTTACTTCATTTTCTTTTTGCTCTTTCCTGTAGGTGGGGAAATCCCAATGGATGTGCGTCTTGGCGGCGGGCAGCTGGTGTCTGAGGAACTGATGACTCTTGGAGAAAGTCTATCACAGACCACAGATCCCTCCCTCAAGCTCTTTCAGTGTGCTGTATGCAATCGCTTCACCACTGACAACCTGGATGTGCTAGGCATGCATATGGGTGCCGAACGCAGCCTGCCGGAGGAGGAGTGGCGTGCCGTGGTGGGAGACTCGCATCAGTGCAAGTTGTGCCACTACACAACCCAGCTTAAAGCCAACTTCCAGCTGCATTGCAAAACAGACAAGCATGTGCAGAAGTACCAGCTTGTCGCCCACATCAAAGAAGGGGGCAAAGGCAATGAATGGCGCCTGAAGTGTGTGGCAATAGGCAATCCAGTGCACCTAAAGTGCAATGCCTGTGACTACTACACTAACAGCCTGGAGAAGCTGAGGATGCACACTGTCAATTCACGCCATGAGGCCAGCCTCAAACTGTATAAGGTTAGTGGTTCTTAAGTTGTTTTTAATCACACGTGCCACTCAGACTTTTCTTTTCTAAGTTTATCGGTTGATTTTTTTTATTTTTGGACTTTTTTGTTGATTTACACATTGGTCAATTTTGGTAATCTGGATGTGTCCTGAAAAACGTATTTGCTATAAGTTTAAAAATGTCTGGGAAAAGTATAACAGCCCTGTTATGCATCGCAGTTTTTATTGTCTTTTTGAGAAGTCGGAACATCATACAGTTTTGCAGAGAGGGTAAAACGCTTATTCAATAATCTCCATGCTAACTTGATCTGCCTCAGCAAGACTTAATAAATGTTCTTGTGTTGCCGACATCACCGCCAGCTGTTCTCTAGAGGCATGAATAACAGCTTTGTTGTGTAGCTGTCATACAGAAGCCGGCCCCACTAGTGCCCTGAGAAGAACATGGCAGGACAAGCTGGCTTGGAAGCTTAGGACTAAATCACTTGGTAGACGAATGAAGAAGTGTTAGGAGACAGAGGTTTGGTGCTAATACTCCTCTGAGCGGGAAGGGCTGAATTGTTCTCGACAGCCGTATTGATTTTTGTTGGACTTGGAGCTTCACCTTCTCCTCTAATCATTCCATAATAGCCAGTGGATGAACACTCTCCGAACAAATGGCCATAAATCTAACAGGCCTGATTCCACTTAGGTGCCTATCCTGTATGTCTGCGGCTTTGGCTAGTCTGCGCTTAACCCAGACTGGCATAGCTGCACATATGCACAAGACACACAAGCACTGGCAACACATATGTGGTGTCAACTTAGGCAACATGCTCAAGGAAAGCACCATCTTTCGACAACTATAGAATACATTTTTAGGAAGTTCCTTATTGTCATTAACCAGTTTGGATTAATGACAGACTGGGATGTTATTTCAATTATTGCATTCCTTTGCACCTGCGGCACCTTATCTGTTGCAAGAAATATCTAAAGATGAGAGAAAGAAAGGCATGCTCGCTACCTCGAGCATGGGCTTTTAATTACACGAAAAACTGAGCTTAAAAATCTCATCAATTTAAAAGCCTGGTAGCATTACAAATGATCTCTCAGACTCTGTGGCATGACAAGCATGTTTTCGACAAAGGGTCTTTGTACTGAAATAACAGTAAGAATAAATAGATCAATTTTTGGTTTTGTTATAAAGGCAGGTGAAACAAAGTGCTTCGGTTGCATCTGTTACAGAGGACCAGGGAGGTTTTTTGAGTTGTCCTATGATATAATGCGTGTGTGACCTTGAATCCAAGTTGACAGAATCGGTCATGTTGTCTCTCATCCTCACACTTTTACAGAGGAGAACGTTGTTCTTGTCGAACAGGGAACGTCTTATTGTCTTGTAACTATATCTTTGCTATGACCCTAACGATCTAAAGAAATTGTGTGTTCTTTTCTTTTACTATATTTCTTCACACAAGCTTTAGGAGAGGAAATACACATGTCACACAAGACTTCAGGCTGTGAGGGATTAAATATGTACAACACATCCAGGGATGATCTTTTTTTTTTTTTTTTTTTTTTTTTACTTAAGCCTCTTAAGATGCTCCATATTTCTTAAAACCAATTGGTTTTCCAACTAAGACTGTGTGCATTTGTCCAGAAATCACCTGCTCCATAAACCAGAGAAAATGTTAGTTCATGTAAGCTCTGCCTCATCCCCTACACAACTCAGAAACAAAGATGAGCACGAGTCGACAAGATTCATTACAGTAGTTTATGACTTTACCAATGTGACAAATACATGGTCGTGAGGTTTTTTCAGTTGCACAGTTTTCTTACTCCTTTAGATTTACAGTTCTGGTTGAGATACTGACAGGCAAAAATCTGCCTTGCCCACCAATGCCTGCAAAAGCCTCTTGGTTTATTCATGGATGAAAAAAAAAAAAGAGAAAATCAAAACAGGGATAAAATAAATCATCAACTCAGCATAAACATGCTGTAAGATGTGGGACATGCTCGGGACACTTCACCCAAATCAAACTGGTTTGCATTAAACTAGGCCTTTGTGTGTGCAGCTCCATATAAATTGGAGCCTGTAATTACTGGAATTAAAAAGGAAGGTTTAAACTGAGAGCTAAGTTAGATGGGATAATTTCAGAGTCTGTGGTATGTGGCCCATATTAGGGCTTTCTAAAAATATCACCCCCACCACCCCATGTATCGGAATGTTTTAGGAGGCCACAGAATGATCCAGCAACTTATCCTGACCACCGGACCACCACACAGCACGGGCTGAATCTGTCTGCTTTCTAAACGGTGTTCCTCAATTGAAATGCACTCTTTGTGAGAACCGTGTTCTGTCTACTGAGCCATGTGATCTGCAATCTTTCTTTTGCCTTCTTATTTTCCCAAAGAGATTTAATGGGATGGGAATCGATCTAGAATGGTCACTCCTGAATTCAAACCCACGTCATGTTGCTGTGGGGATAACCTCAGATGAGCATCTTCAGTTTGCACAACTCAAATAAAATATGTTTGTCGCTTAACTTTGACGTTGATCCTGGGGAAAAAAAAAAAAAAAAACCTGCTTCACAGCTGGACATTCACATAATATTTCACATGTGTAGGGATAATCCCTTATGATAATATGTGACAATGACAGGCTAATCCTTTTTCACAACCTGGTTGCTCTAACAAGCGGGAGCGGATGGGGCCTAACCAGGCCTAGCTGTAGGCCTCCGCTTGCGCTGAAGGTTTGGAAGAAAGGGGAGAAGCAAGGGGGGGAGGTGGGGTTTGCTGGCTACCTTCGTTGTCTCGGGGGCCGGTGCAATCGGCAGTAATTGAGATTGATTGGATGTTATTTTTCCTCTTGCAAATGTAGTCCATTAGCTTGGCACATGCATAATCAGTTTAGAGCACAGTTAGCCGAATGTAATCATGTTCCTTGGTGTCTGCTAGCACAAAATCCACTCCAGATGCCAGTTGGCTACGGAAAGATGGGGAGAAAGTGCCGTCACTATCAAACGTGGAATCTTAAACTGAGAACGTCCCGACATCCCTTCCTGTATCCTGGTCCTGCTCTATTAAGCACACCTAACTGTAAAATATTTTCTCCTTCCTCCGTTTGCCATACGCGCTCAGTCAAAAACCACCGTTTATCCCCTCAAAAAGCGTCACTTTTCATCTTACGATTTGTCCATCAACAGAGAGAACAATTTTCGCAGTTACCTGCAGTTGTTTTATCTCTTGTTATGACCGAAATGAAGCAAGTAAAAGTTAAAGACATGTCAGTCTTCTGCAAAGTCAAATAATCCCTATAAATGATAATTGAGGAGTGAAGGGTTTAACATAAATGAAAGGATTAGTTGTTACATGCATTAAGTGTTTCCTTGATTATCCTTCTCAGCACACTGTGGAACGAGAGGCTCGATTATCTCACATTTTAATGATCGTGAGTGATGAGATTGGCTCCAAGCCCTTTTATAATACTAGTTATGTAAAGTTTGAAAAAAAACAAAAAGAAAACAGAGTCTATTGTTGTATTCCAAGTTTAATTACCTAAAACAAGCTCGGTTGAAAAGAATATGACTCATCATGATTCAAAAATTGAATTTGGCATAGTGATATTGTTTAAGCTGCTATGACTTATTTGTGAAGTTGATTTTTTATTTTTTATTTTTTTTTGGTTTCCTCCAAGACTTTGCTACTCACTATTTTCTCTCTGACGCTGCAATGATGACAGGGAACATACTAAAAATTAAGTGGAAGAAAAAACTGTTTCAGATAAAGATGTGTAAGAAATGGGGATAAACACAGCCCTGAATGGACTGTGATGCAAAGCCCATTCAAAAAATTTAGGGCGACTCATAGGCCACAGACGGCATCTGGAGTCGAGTCTTCAAGAGGCACAGGCTTATCCAACACAAGAGCTACACTGTCACATTACTTGCATTAAGTCTAAAACACATCGCCCTTGAAATAAAACCTTGTGAAATTTAACTGTATTAAAAAAAAAGGTGAAAAAAAGTAAACAAGGTGCCTATGTGCTTAATTGAAAAGCAAACTGGCCGTACCGAAATCTGCAGAAGTATTATTACACATTTACTGGTGTAATAATATCCTTCTAAGAAAACAGAATTTTTGTTTTCCTCAGCAGCAAGACATAATCATAAGAATCAACAGAATAAATCCTTCTGATATAAGAGTTCCACTTTTCGGATTCAGTCAATTGATCGGTGATATTTAAATTTATTTAGATGTACCTGTGGAGTTGAAGCAGATGTTACTCTGTCAAACATCACAGGAAAAAAAAAAACTGTGGCAGATAAGCGACTGTGAGATGTCCTGAGTGATCCTCCCAGGAGAGCCTCGTCTTAATCACTCAAAATTCCTGCAAGATGACGGGTAGAAAGAGGATGGATGGACAGAGAGGAGTAGGAGTGGAAAGCGGGGAGTGGTGGTGGCGATGGAGGGGGTTTACAGGAGGGTTCGACGGATAGATACTTTGCTAATTATCATGGCTAGCCTATGATTGTTCAGTAATAGTGCTCAGTGGGAAAGGTTGTAGCAGTTCCAGGAAGAGCCGAGCTCTGATTTACTGGTACTACTGCTCTAATAAAGCGTGAGCTGCACATCCTGGGAGACAGCCCATTCTCTTCTTTCACATGCACAAGCGTGTGAATGCGCACAAAGAGACGGACAGGCACATGCTCACAAGCAAGCTAACATTTGACAGGAATCATGAAATGTATCGTTTTAATAGCTCGTAGCAGCAAAGACAGATTGGTAAACGCAGCGTACGCACAACAAGCCTTATTGTTTACTTCTAACACGAGGTTCCTTGTATTGGGTGTCAGTAGTTGCTTTACAGGGGATTGAACGCCAGCATCCTCACTCAAACCAGGCTCGGTCTTTAACAAGAAAAGGCTGGCATACATCTTAAAATCAAGGTATGTTGAAAAGAGGGAAAAGTAAAGGAGGACTGGTAGGACATTGTGTTTGGCGGGGTGCAGGAAGTTTACAACCTTTTAAGCTCCCAC